TTTTTTGGATTTTGTTGCTTTTTCAATTTTAGGTTCCAATCTGTTTTTTTTTTTTTTTTGGGTGAGACGCTATTGATCTCTTTTTTTTTTATTGAAGTCCCAATCTCTTTGAATGTTATGGTTCTATAATAATTTTTTTATATAAATATTGGTTCTGTAATTTGATACATTTTAAAATAATTATTTATGATATTAAATAATCTAATAAACAGTAAATTAATTTTGAATTTTTTTTAAAAATGAAGTCCAATGTTGTCCAGTTCTAGTGTTCTACCAAACAACTCAATAGGACTGAAGTCTAGCCCAGTCCAGTCCAATACTTTAAGTCTAATCCTAACCAGTCCAGTCCAGCTCACCAAACGGGGCCTAAGTGTACTAACATGGCTATTCCCAAATAGAAATATGAAAAATTGTATTGAAAATGTTTTTATTATACGCAAATATATTAGGAATGAAGATTCATTCATGCATGTATGTATGATAACAAAAATCTTCACTAAGGTAATATACATGTACCAAATTTGTGCGCTTTAATTAGCATTACAAAATAATTAACTACTTGTTGTTGCAATTTTACAAGTTGAAGCTAATAATTAAATTTATGGTGTGTTTACTAATCAGGAATTGAATTCCACCTATAGAAGATTCCTGTGTTTACTTCACGTCAATGAATTAAAAAGCAAATGGAGCCCACAATTCAATTCTTGGGTGGTATTCTAATTAGAAAAATTGATATAGATCCAAATTCTCATTGAGGAGTTGAGTTTAGTCCTCGAATTTTGTGAATTTGATCCAAGTCTTCTGATTTTTGTGCCACATAGGATTACATTCCTTTTTAAATATTTTTTGATGTAATCTTTTTATTTATTTATTTATGAAATCATTTTTTGTTCCAATGTTGCCCTTTAAGACTTTATGTCATAATAATTAGCTATTATGCCATAATAATTAGCTATTTACAATGTTTGGCATTGAATAGAAAAGGAAAATATATCAAACATATCCCAAAAATTAGTTTTTACTTACAATCATGCTCCTTCGAACCAATCTCTACTAATTTCTTGCTTCTTCAATGCAGAATTATTGGGAAAAATGCATTTATTTTATATGCGTCTTGAAATTTTTTGACAGAGGAAAAAAATGCATTTATTTTCGGTGTACGTATATTTTCTTATTGCATATTGCATAGGTATATATGTGTTTTTTTATATTTTCGATAATGTGTAATAGTATTTTATGTACCTTTATTTTTTTACAAGTAACATATAATTTTATTTGTCTATTTTTGTATCTGACTTATAGGTAGTCTTTTAATTTATGTTCCTAACTTATAGGTAACACGATTTATCACTTAGTTTTTTTCGTTGCTAATAATAACACTATTTACTTGCATGTTAGATACATAATTTCATGTGGGTGCTTGTCTGATCGATTGGTATAATATGTGAGTCTTTACGTTTCATTGATTAAATTGTATTTTATCCCTGTATTAGGAATATTATCAAGGAAAGAATTCAAAATTTAAATTCTAAAATTCAATTACATGGAAATAATGCATTAAATTTAGATTTTCAATGCGTTTTACTTATTTACCTCAAAGGGTAAAATCGACACAACAAAAAAAGTAATAAATGTCAAAGGCCTACATCTAAAATGAAAAACGCGTGGGCTAAACCTAATGACAACTGATCGCTTTGGACCTAATGAGCCATATTCTAATTCTTGGAGAACTAACCCATTATGAATTCATCTTTTTTACCCATTATATTCTCACACAATTTTAAAATTTCCAAATTTGTCATCTACTTTAACCCAACAACGAGGACATTTTAGTAATTAGTATTACTCCTACTCCAATTCCATATGGTTTAGTAAACAACTTCAATAGAAATCCGGAATCTAATTCTCCTAAATCCAACTCCTCCTCAATTCAATTATCCTCAATTCAATTCCTCATAATCCAATTACGGATTAGTAAACATGCCATTAGAGTTTAAGCATTTTAAGTATCAACATGTGTTCTGCACATAGGGCAAGAAGATTGTTGTTTTAGCCATTGGTCTATGCAGGCCATGTGAAAGAAATGCCTACAGGTGGGAAGTTCTCTTGCACACTCTCCCTCCTTCAGTTCCTGCAAATATAAACATCAAAAATCAAATTGTGAGTAAACAGTGATAACTCATAACCCAACATTTGGTTAATCGTAGGCCATATGGAAAAGGAGGAAAATTATTTGTCCGAAATTATACTATGTTTTTTTATTTCATAACCTGTTTTTGTACCTTTCAAAAACATCGTATACACTTCAGTAAGTGGAGAAAAAATTTCAAAAAATGTCACACTGGGTGTCTTACACATAAAATATTTTGAGAGTGTGCAAAGAAGACACAATTTTTTGTAATTTATATGCTATGTTATTGTGAGCTCACAGTCCCTGTGTGAGACACCCAACGTGGAAAGGGATTGTGAACTCACAATTTAATGGAAAGCTACAACAACTTTTCAAACATTTTGGATCCTAATTTTGGTTGCAATTAATCATAATAATAATAATAATAATATATATATATATATATATATATATATATATATATTCGAGAAAAAACTATTTTTTTTTTAAGCACAGTATTGTTTGATGTCTCTTGTTAATCATATTGCTAGAACGAAATGCACTTTGAGGGAGCCTTTGAATGCATTCGTGGGATAAGCCCTTAGCTCCAGCAATGTCATAAATTCCAGAAATCTCTCTATAAGTTGTTTCCAGATTGCTAATCTGCTCAATAAATTTGGCATTGTAACTCAAATTGATTACTATATAGAAAAGAAAAAAAATAACTACTTCATTGCTGGTCTGTGAAGGGAAACACTTACTTGCCAGTGATAGGCTTTTAGCACTGCAGAACTTACCCATTCCATAAACACCGTCCCATTTACCATACGCCCCAAGAGAGCAACCTATAAAAGAAAAAGTTATTATAAAATCCAACACGAAGACGGAATCTTAAATATCCAAGTAAAGTAGGAAAACGAGAGTCTAACTCTGTCATATGTGTGGTTAAGTGCTCTACCACTAGAACTATAAACCTCAAAACGAAAACTCATTATTCATTGTTACATTGTGGTTTATTGGCTTATGCATATTATAAGCACGAAATGAAAACTTACACAAGGCATTATACCTTAGACAATGATTGGCCATCAACTTCCAAATCCATCAACTGAATGGCTGCAATTGCCCCTGCCAGACAACCTATTCCGGCTCCAGTAACCAACCCGGTCTCCGTCGTCTGGCCTGTGATGGCTCCATGAATTGCTCCCATTATAGCCCCTCCTACACAACCCACAACTGTTTACAAGTGACTCTGTGTTCTCAATAAATAGGCTAAATTTTGTGTCACCCTTTCAAAACTGAGACACAGAAGAAAACCAATGAAGTCAAGGGTTATAAACATACCTAGTGCAAGAATGCAGGTAATTGCAGTAAAAACAACTCTGTTTATAACACTTATCAAAGCCCCACCTCTTGAACCATCTCCAATAGCAGCCAAAACCCACAAAGAAACAATCTCTTTAGACCTGAATGTAGCTTTCAACAAGCCTGAAAACCATCCCTTCATCATAGAAGAAATGGGCAAGCCAGACATGGTGTTTTTGAGTGGGAAAGTGGGAGAACACACTCAAAAGATGAGGCTTTAAACGGTATTGCTTTTGGGAGTGAAGTAAGCAACCAAAGGATGAGTATTTAAAGGGTAAGGAGGTGAAGGGCTAGGCATTTAAGAGAGCTAGGAAGAGAACCAAGTGCCACAATTTACAAGTGTTACATATTATTTTACTGAGAAGGCAACTTGGCGAGCAGGAATGAGACAACACGAAATGCTACTCACTTGAGCAAGCAACCCTCTATGATTAATGCTTGTTTAAGGCATGATTTGCTTTTCATTTTCGTTTTGCCTTTTTTTATACTTTAGATCTTTTGCAATATAAAACAATTGCGTCGTACGTTTACCATATATCCCATTTCCTAATCAAACTATTGTAAAACAAAATTTGATATTAAAATGGATTATGGTAAAGTGTGGTATTGGTAGTATTGGTATAATGTGGTATTGGTATTGAGAGACTTCATGCATGAGGAGGGGTAGAATGTGGTATTGGTATTTTCTTTCAATGAACAATAAATATAGGAATACCATGAACTCCCTTTTAAAGATTTTTTTTTTTTAAAAGGACAATATATATATAGGAATAACATAAACTTCCTTCCAATTTTGGGATTGAATTCTCAGTCTAGTGGTGGTGTAAAGTGACATATATACCATGTTCAAATCTTCATATGCTAGCAAGAAAAATAAATAAATAAAGACTTTCTACCATGATAGCATTAGAGTAACCAACTCATAACTATATTTGACAAAACGTACAAGTTCAGTACATTATATAATGCAAGACCCGCAGTTTTATAGATACTGGATG